TGCTCCTCCTGTGATACAATCTGCTCATACTGCTACCCGTGTACCGACCTTTGGCCGCTGATTCACCAACTACTCTCTTCGTCTTCCACTTCATACCTGATACCTTTGGCTACTGACCTCGGCTTGTTCTCTGACTACGCTTCTGCCAGATCCTACACTACTACCGTCTGCTTGTGTACCGAACTAGGCCTGTTTGACTACGACTTTGCCTGCTGTCTCAGCTACTGGACTCCGAGCCTGATCCAGATCCTGACACTTTGTTACAGAGCACTGCAGTGCACAATGTGGGTTGTGGTGGTCTGCAATGAAAACAAATCCTGTAGAAGCCATATTTGCTGTGTTAGGGTTCATTAAATGTAAATAGACTGCAAGCTCTCTTTCCTCCTTCAGAGGAGTCAGTGCCCAATACGCTACATGATCAGTCAGATGCCAATCTATGTGAAGGCATGCTACTATAGCCCGATATGCTCCTTCCCCGCGGTTTTAAAAATGATCTTCATAAATGCCGAAGGACTTAACCATCCAAGTCAATGATGACAACCGGAAAAGTAGTCCAAACATAAGCAAAGGTCGGCAGCCTAGCAACCATTAATGTTAAAAGCCCATCACACCCCTGACCAAAAGGATTGGTAGGTGCCGCGGTGGCAAACTGATGGCACCACTCAATGCAAGTAGAAGAAGAGTCACCGGCACTCCAAGATCATTGATCATTACGTCTTTATTAAAGCATGCTCATCATATCACATAATAGCTATTGAGTCATTTGATGAGCATACTTCAATAAAGATGTAATGATCAATGATCTCGGAGTGCCAATGACTCTTCCTCTATCCTGGCAACCATTGACGCATCCTTGGTCCCATTCATCTGCTGGCTGGGAGATTCCCGACCAGTAGCTGAATGTAAAAAAAGGGGCAGGACCGCTGGCTAATATAATTGACTAAATATGGCCATTTTAGAACAGAGGCTGGGACTGGAGGCATTAAAGGAGAACTATGAGGCGAGTGAAAATCACTCAGCCTCACAGTTCGAGCCGACGTGTGACAATGAAACTGTCACACGTCGGCTCGATAGATCGGGTAGTGAGCGAACACATACCGTCGCTCGCTCGCTTCTTGATCCTGTCCCTGCGGAGAGCCGTGACTGTCACTCACGGCTCCCTGCAGGGATTCCCCCCCCCTCCCATGTTCGATCCTCCAGCACTGACTGGCGGAATGGATGGGAGAGGGGGCGGCCACAGCTGGCTCTGCCTCTAGATAGGCAGAGCCAGCTGTCACTCACACAGGTGTGTGGATCCATACAGTATTGTCGGGATCCGTCCCAGCTGCGGCATCTCAGTATACTGAGCTTTGGGTGACGGGAGGACGCTAGTTTGTGTCCTCCCGTTACCCTTAGGAGAACTATGGGGAAAAACCCTGACCCCATAGTTCTCCTTTAAAGATTTAGCTCCCATTAACTTTAATGGAGTTTGGATTAATGTTTGAACTTCAGCCCAATTTGTCGATTGTCTCGTGAACCAAACACAGGTATGATGGGCTCATCACTATAAGTAACTGCACTTTATTCCTGTACTTCAGCATTAGCCCCCCATACATGTATGCCAACTGTGTGTTTAACTCATTACAAATTAGCTAACTAAATATGAGATTGTAGTCCATCCCGGGAGTATGCTTGGAGCGGTGACTACTTTACAACACACACAGGGACCATGGGGAATAAAAGTAGCCCCTCCTCCAGAAGGAAAGACAGTGTCAGCACCAATTCAGAGATGATTGGAGGATCTACAGCCAAGTGATACACAAAAAAGATACATTTCTGTTGATAGTTAAGGTTCTTGAATGCATTTTCACTTTAAATTATTTTATGCATTGCCTGCTGACACTTTATGGCAAGCAATATGTTATCTGATACTCACCTACACAGCTACTGGAGATGAATGTGAAACCATCCTTGCACAGACAATTATATGAGCCCAATGTATTGTTACAGTAGCTGCCAAGACCACATACAGAAGATGTCTGGTTGCATTCATCTATATCTGTAGAGAAATAATAAAATATGTTTTTTCAGGTTTTATTTTTGGAGCTGAAATGTCTAAAATCTAATTCCAGACCGCAGGTGAAACAAATCAATGAGTTACCATATAAAACCAGGGAGCAAATATACTGTAGCTATTATATTTAGCCCTCATTCACACTAGAAACGGCCGGCATGTACAGCTCTGTGCTGCGTGTACGGCTGTATCGGGCAGCTCCCGGGAAGGACAGGCGCTGTGTGTGATTAGTACGCAGCCCCTGTCCTTCTCTATGGGACTACGCGGCCGTACGCCCCCCTACGCTCACCCAGAGCCGTAGCTAGCTCTTTTTGCGCCCTAGGCAAGAACAGAAAATTGTGCCCCCCCAACAGACTTGTGCGGTATGTGACATCATGTGCCCCGCCTCCAGGATGGTGGCACGCATGCGCCTCTGCCCATACAGGTGGGGGAGAACAGCGGGAATCTGAGGAGAATGTGCCACTCCTCTTCTCCCTGCCAAGCTGCGGCTGTGTTGACCTCCTGGCACCCCTGTTGCCAATGGTGCCCTGTGCTCACCATGGCAACAGGGGCGAGGGGGTGCAGCCAGGACGGTCCTGGCTGTGCCCCCTCTCAGCTGCGCCTGAGGTGAGTGCCTCACTCGCCCCATGGTAGCTACAGCCCTGCGCTCACCCGACCTGCACGTCTGTGCGGGTGCGGGTGAGTGTACTCGTATGCTAACAGGATGGATCCTGTCTGCGTCCGAGCCAGGAAATACACACCCCTACGGACCTGCACTTGAGAAGAGCGTAGGGGGACGTATGGCCGCGCAGTCCCATAGAGAAGGAAGGGGGCTGCATACTAATCACACGCAGCACCTGTCCTTCCCGGGAGCGGCCCGATACGGCCGTGCACGCAGCACGGAGCTGTACATGCCGGCCTTTTCTGGTGTGAAAGAGGGCTTATAGTGTGAAGGGACTAAAGGAATCCCTAAAACCCTCCAACCAAATAATTGCGTAGAACAGTAAAGTCTTCATAGAACAGAAGGTATTCACATGTCTCTATCACATATCCCTAAAATAAGAGGATTATTCCTTTTAGATTCATTTGATCCTTTTTTTTTTTTTTACAATCATAGTGGTTATACTTGCTTGTTGGGTCCCAAACTCTACTCCATAGAAGCCATTAGGGTTGCCACCTGTACAGGATTCACCCGGACAGTTCGGGCTTTGAATGCTGTGTTCGGGTTTCATGGCAGCAGAAACCCGGACACATGATGTCAGGCAGACAGGGGCAACCAAAATTAATATAGGGGCTACTGGCCCCCCACTAAAAATAGTCTCTACTGTGATATTTACATATGAATGGGCGGCACTTTTTACTTATGAACAAGCCACAACTCATTCTCCCACAAAAATGTCCGCGCGTCGCTGGAGTGTTCGGGTTTCGCTTGAAGAAAAGGTGGCAACCCTAGAAGCCATTGTTACCATATATTAATGTGATGAGGACCAAAAAGCCTGAAACTGCTGTATGCATGTGGGAATAAATGGGTCTATAATATTGTTATATTACTGCAGTTCAGCTTTAGGCCCCATACATGTAGGTCAACTGTGTGTTTAGCTGTTTGAACATACACTAAGATTATCAGGGTTATTCACAAAAGGGTGAAGGGTTTGGAGAAGGCAGGAGAAGTGAACAATCTAGGACAACATAACTGAACTGGAAAGTGAGCTGAATTGGAGAATTTTTCCACATCAGCTATTTTGTCCTAGATTGCTCACTTCTCCGGCCTTCTCCTAACTCTTCACCCTTTTGTGAATAACCCTGTATGGAAAAAGGAATTCCTGTCATGTTGACCTTCCACAGACGCCTACGTCTGCTGTTCCTGGCCTGACTGTATAGTGAAATGGAAACACTAAAGTAACTAAACCAAATGTAATTATTACTGTTATTATCACAGACAATTATAAATAGAAACACTCACGTTAAGGGATGAAATAGGTGAGCATGGCTCTGCGTATATATGAACTGGTTTATGGATAATTAGTAAAATATACAGGCTTGAGGGGATAATTGTAATACATTGTCTGGTTTTATTGATTTATTGTTGTATGTTGTCAATAATATAATATGTGTAATTTATGGAGTGATGCTTGAAAATTAATAAATATTTATATAACAGTAACAAAAAAAACAAAAAAAGAATAACCCTGTATGTTTACATGTCTGCATTTTCCATGCAAATAATTGCAGATAAAGTATGTAAATACATATAACAACACAGACAAAAATGGTGTAAATCTAGTCTTAAAGAGTAATATAAATTGTTTTGATATACAGAAGTATGATTTAGTATAATGTCATCACTCTTTCCAATTGGAAGTTACATTTTACATCTATGTTTATTTAAATTAGTTTATTTCCTGCTGACACTTTTGTGACAAACAATATGTTACCTGATACTCACCTGCACAGGTATTGGAAATGAATGTGAAACCATTGTTGCACAGACAACTATATGAGCCCATTGTATTGTTACAGTAGCTGTCAGGAGCACAAGCAGAAGTATTTTGGCATTCATCTATATCTGCAGAGAAATTAAAAAAAAAAAATGTTTTCTGAGGTTATATTTCTAGGGCTAAAATGTTGAAAATCTAATTCCAGACCGCAGATGAAAACCAAACAATGAGTAACCATGTAAAACCAGGGAGCAAATATAACTATTAACTAGAAGTGCACCGAAATAAAAATTTCAAAACCGAAATAAAGAAAAATGTCAGGCCGAAACCGAAAACGTTTTTTATTTTAACTTTTTCAAACATTTTTTAATATTTATTGAAGTGTGGAGGTAGCCCCAGTGCAAGGGTTAGTTTTTTTTTAAATTCCAGGAGTTCTTCATTAGAAACAATTAAAGCAATTAAAATCCTTTTACCAAAACTCACCAAAACATTCCATAGTGTATTGTGGGCCCGTGGATACTTTAACATACTGGTCATATCCATCTTTACAGCAACATTTGGATGACTCGGTGGTACATTTGTCTGTATCTGTGCAGAAGTTCAAAGCATCACACAGAGCCGGATCTGTAAAAGATCAAAATGACAAAATGACTTTCTGATTGGTGCGTTGTAGTAGATCAGCAGTTTAAAATTGTTTATGCCGCATGACCCCATACAGCCTTTTAGCGTATGTAAGCCCAGAGTGTGTTTTTCATTGTTTGGCGCCATGCTTCACTGTATAGTCTACTCACTCAAATCATAATTTTTGTAAATCAGTTGCAAAATGTCTTACCTGGAGATCTTTCCAGTGACAGATCTAAGTATACGGTGAGGCATGATGGCAAACATATTGAAAAATAGATTTTGGGTTTACATACTGTAACAAGGACACTCAACTGAAGATAGGAGGTGCAAGTAAAATGCAGTGTTATTAAGTGCAAACACCTAACATTTCGTTCCATTCACAGGGTAGCGCCCCCCCCTGTTACACAAGACAGTTTCTAGCAGCAACATAAAGGACAGTCTTTAGTTTTGCTCTGTAGCTTTCCACAGCTCCAAGAAACTCACACTGCTCTCCCCTCCGGAGCCCTCACTCTGCTCTCTCAGCAGCATGTCCCACAGGTCCTAGGGTCACCGACCTTCCCGACCTCTCCCAGCCTTCCCTGGCAGTTCCACATGTCCAGCACGCACCTGAGTCTGCTGTGGCTCTGCGCCCCCTGCACCCACACAACTCTCACGCAACTCTGTGTTCTGGTCTGGCTTCTTAATGAGGCTGCTCTCAGCCACCTCAGCCAAGGCTGGTCATTGGCGACACCTGGCCCTAGGACTGGAGATTTCCTCCCACCCAGAGCTCTAAAGGTGCCCATACACCTTACAATTATCTGCAGATTTTCTGTGGTCAGATGGAAAAAGTGCAACAGATTGGCCCAGGTGGAGATTACTCCATCCACACAGTTGAGTGTAGATGGAGGAATCTGTTCCACCTTTTCCATCTGACCACAGAACATCTGCAGATAATTGTAAGGTGTCTGGCCAGCTTTAGAGATCTCCAGGGCTCCAGATCCCATTTACAATTCTGAAAACCTGGGAGAATCTGAAAAGCCAGGTTCTTCCTTATAAAACGGTTCACTCTCTGGACCCTCTCAGCTTCTCTGGCTGAGAGTCCTGGGTACTAGACATGTGCAATTCGTTTCGTTCCGAATCGAAATTCGGAACAGATATAATTAGGGATGCACAGATACTTTTTGAGTACCAGTGCAGATACTTGGCATTTCCATGAGAACTACCAGGGTTGCAGCGGTTGCAGCTGGGACCGGGCTCTGGCGCTCCACCACTGTCCTGAAATCATTAGTCTGTATTGTTTTAGAAAAACTGTCACATGACAATAAACAAAAATGTATCAGTACTCGTACTTGTAAGTACTCGGCAAGTATCAGTACTCGTACTCGCAAAACTGGTATCGGTGCATCCCTTTATTTCTATTTATAAAAACAAAATCGTACATTAAAACAGAGATGTACAAATCCCGGGAGCTCCGTGTGCTCCTTACACATGACAGCCGCCTCCTAACTTTTGAATTTTCCTCTGGTGTAGTCTTGGACCTCAAAAGTATCTGTACATGTACTCGTACTTGTACCGAGTACTGTACTCGGTATCTGTGCAACCCTAGATATAACGAATGCAAACGAATCCGAATTTCCGAAATTCATTAGCGGTAGTTCGTTCTAACGTTCGTTTCGGTTTAGTTTCTTATTCGCTTCGTTCATTGGAGCAAAGTGTAATTAGAGACAAACATTTTTTCCCCCTCAAATGTAATTTTGCTGCAACGAATGAACGAAACGAATAAGAAACGGAAACGAAGCGATCGTTCGAACGAACTAATGCTAACGAATTTTGTCCGAATCCGAATTGACTTTCACACCCGAATCCCGAAAAACGAAATAACACAAAATCCGAATCAAAGCGAAACGAAACTAAAGAAACGTTATGCCGGTGCACATGTCTACTGGGTACCATAGTTGCCAAACTACGCCGTGGCATTGGCTTACACTGCCACAATACACTATAATTAAAGACTAGCACTACCAAAACCTGGCTAGTAGGATGGTGAAGCACATGGCAGCTTTTCCCATACCTGGGGACATCCAGTCACTAGAATAACCTACAAATATTGATCAGCTTTGCCCAAGCGCAGTGAGCAGCAAGCCAACAAAAACAGGATCCTCACAGAATTCCGCTACAAGAATGTGACATTTTCCCTATTACCCAACAGAAAGAGTAGAAGTTTGAACTACTGCATGGAAGTCTCACCAACGGGATCTCTAAAGCCGAACTCCAGCTTATGGGTCTTAATTCATTCCTCAATGGTTGTGGAAATAACCCCCCTCCCCCCCCAAAAAAACAACCCAACTTTCCTGCAATTCTCACCTTCTCTCTGGTGTTGTGTTGATCAGTTGTACACTGCTGTGTCATCTGTACCCCATTTTCTGTAGTACATTTTGGCCAGTTCTCCCTGCTGGCCAGTTTTGATATGTTATCTGCAGTCTCCTAATGACAGTTTGTTAAAAATTGGTCAGCAGCAAAATAGTTTTGCATCATCGAGAAGAGAGACGGCCATAGCAAACAGCTGGCCAATTTCTATCCACTGATCAAAGGAGGACTATTACCAGGGCCGGATTTCCCACAAGGCCAACCGAGGCCCGGCCTTGGGGTGGCAGGGAGCAGAGGGGCGGCAGGGGTGTGGATTTACTATCTCCCGACGCCCAGGACATGCAGTTCCGGGATCCGTGCGGGTAGCTGTTTTCTACATTTAGATCTACATTTAGATCTGCTTCGGGCAAGCAGAGCTAAATGTACAGCGGGGAAACCGAGATCACTTGTATGCAACCAGTCCCCCCCTGCTGCCCTCCCCTCGTTGGCTACCTCTCTCCCCGCCGGCCTCCTCTCTCCGGAGATGGAGATCTTCAGGATGGAGAGCAGGGAGCAGAGAACGTCCGCTCTGTTCTGTGTGAATGAGAGAGCTGCACTCACAATTGCTGCCCCCGCCAGCTGGTTGCCATTCTCCATTTGGGGTGGGGGGCATGCACAGGAGGAACTTTACTCATATAATTAAAATAACAGCAAAGTCACCTTTAGAAATGACAATCTACAAACACAAACGTCTACATAATTGCCGGCTTTGTATTCTTTGCATTCCTTATTTCTCTTTTCTTTCCCAGTCTTCTCACAGCGGCCATTTTTACTAAGGGCAGATGAATCAATCTCCTTTTACTTCCTGGAATTCTGGCACATGTGACTAGGACATGTGACCATGCACATCATCTCAGGGGAGGAAAATCCCTCGTCACCAAGGAGCATGGAGCTGGCTTTCCGGCCAATCAGGAAGCCGGTATCGGTGCATCCCTAGTATTTAAAAAAAAAAAACATATGCCAGCAATGTACACCAAGTGTACATGAATCAGGCATATGCAGTTGATGTATATGAAAACAGAAACTTACATTTTTTGTTAGCTTTCCTCTTCATATCCGCATGGAGATGGCTGCCTCGGTGCTGTGCAAGCAATTTGAAAATATCCCCCACCAGATCCCCCCCCCTTCCCTGGACATGATGTATTTCCCCTTCTTGTTCAGTGTGGAGTATCATGGCTGCTTCTAACAGGACCACATGTTAATCTGCATTGCATGCTTGGAAACATTATCATCTTTGACCGCCTTAAGTACCGCCAGTTACCAACCTGCTGCATGGAATAAAGCACTTTGTGGATGAAAAGGTATTTGGTGAGTTCAGCTATCTGATAAGGATTGTCCGCAGCGATTATATCTACTCATACAGGCCAGGCATAGAGGTCTCAGCAAGGGGGATAAATCGCTAAAACAACCATCAGAGTCAGAATAAACTTACTAAAACTTACCAGTCACATTGAAGGTGCAAGTGGTCTTATTCGAGTGTATCACAATGATATCATAACCTGCAACAACAAACGAAATATGATGTCATTACCTGAAAGGCCAACAATACAAAATGCACAATATATATATATATATATACACAGCAAAGTATAAAACACAAATATGTTTTAGGGTCTGTTTATAAACAATTTGCAGAGCCATTCACCCTGTGAATCTAAGTGAATGTTCGTTCTGTGTGAATAAAGGCAAAAACGAACATTCTTAGTTATTCACTAAAGGGTGAAGAGTTTGGAGAAGGCCGGAGAAGGGAACTGTCCTTCCAGAAGGAAGGACAGTGTCGGCACCAATTCAGAGATGATTGGAGGATCTACAGCTGAGTGATACACAAATAAGCAGTGGCATAGCGAGGGGTTGCACATGCTCCCCGGGTGGCGGTCTGAAGGGGGCGTCGGCAGGGGTGGATTTCCCACAAGGTGGTGAGGAATCTGGCCTTGGGGCAGCAGAGAGAGTAAATCCGGCCTTGGGCGCCGGCCTGAAGGGGGCGCCACTGGCTGCTGCTCCCTCCCTCCGTCACTCTGCCAGGCCAGCCACATTGAACTATCATGGTGGTTAAGCAGTGTCTGCACTGGGGTCACTGGGGAATTTGTAGTCCTCTATAGATGATGGTATTCTGCATTGGTGTATAATGTATATATACATACTCTATACAGTGGCAGAACTACCAGGATCACAGCAGTTGCAGCTGTGATGGGGCCCTAGCATTTCGTAACTTGGGGGGCCCTGGTAACCGCCGACATTGCAGGTTACCGGACCCCCCTTTCTTCAGTCTGCCGCCCTCCATCCTTCAGACTGCATGGATCGTGTGTGTCATGATTGAACTATAGCTTGGTTTTTGGGGGGTTGGGGGCGCTAATGAAAGACTTTCCCCCCCGGGTGTCTGGTGACCTTGCTACGCCTCTGCAAATAAGATACATTTTTGTTATTAGTTAAGGGACTTGAATGCATTTTTAAGATTTAACTCCTGAGTTTAGTGTCACTTTAATTATATTCAGTTAGCAGTGTTATCATTTTGTAGCATACACAAGTCTAAGCAATGATGCAGGGGATGGATTAGGTATTGAAGTCTGTAGAGATAGACAATCAATAGGAAGGATTCAGAGGACTGAGGGATATACACTATATTACCAAAAGTATTGGGACGCCTTTACACGCACATGAACTCTAATGGCATGCCAGGCTTAGTCCGTAGGGTTCAGCATTGGGTTGGCTCCGCCCTTTGCCGCTATAACAGCTTCAACTCTTCTGGGAAGGCGTCCACAAGGTTTAGGAGTGTGTCTATGGGAATGTTGGACCATTTGTGAGGTCAGGTACTGATGTTGGGAGAGAAGGCCGGGCTCGCAGTCTCCGCTCTAATTCATCCCAAAGGTGTTCTATGGGGTTGAGGTCAGGACTCTGTGCGGCCAGTCACGTTCCTCCCCCCCAAACTCCCCCATCCATGTCTTTATGGACCTTGGTTTGTGCACTGGTGCGCAGTCATGTTGGAACAGAAGGGGCCGTCCCCAAACTGTTCCCACAAAGTTGGGAGCATGAAATTGTCCAAAATGTCTTGGTCTGCTGATGCCTTAAGAGTTCCCTTCACTGGAACTAAGGGGCCAAGCCCAACCCCTGAAAAACAACCCCACACCATAATCCCCCCTCCACCAAACTTTACACTTGGCACAATGCAGTCAGGCAAGTACCGTTCTCCTGGCAACCGCCAAACCCAGACACGTCCATCGGATTGCCAGACAGAGAAGCGTGATTGGTCACTCCAGAGAACACGTCTCCACTTCTCTAGAGTCCAGTGGCGGCGTGCTTTACACCACGGCATCCCACGCTTTGCATTGCACTTGGTGATGTAAGGCTTGGATGCAGCTGCTCGGCCATGGAAACCCATTCCATGAAGCTCTCTACGCACTGTTGTTGTGCCAATCTGAAGGCCACATGGAGTTTGGAGGTCTGTAGCTATTGACTCTGCAGACAGTCGGCGACTTCTGCGCACTGTGCGCTTCAGCATGCGCTGACCCCGCTCTGTCATGTGACGTGGCCGTCCTCTTCCTGGCTGAGGTGATGTTGTTCCCAGTTGCTTCCACTTTTTTATAATCCCAGTAACAGGTGACCGCGGAATATGTAGTAGCAAGACCATTTCACGGAACACCTGAATCCAATGATTTGGAGGGGGAGGGGCCCAATACTTTTGGCAATATAGTGTATATGGAATATCAGTACACTATTACAAGAAAAAATCTAAAAAAGATTTTTTTTTTCTGTTAAGAATAACCAAACCTCATGACTTATGATCATACACTGCATGATAACATCACCAGACAGAAACTGGTACATTTCCAGCACTTGAAACAACGACACCAATTGTCACTCCACGGACATCTAAAAATGTCACTGATACAGCCTGGCAGTGTGTGGCTCTAAAAATATTACCGAAATCTATAGGAAGCTGATTATCCAAAAAAAGAAAAAACATTATAAGTGTCTTTCTTCATGTATACTTTATAAATCTTCACTCATATAGCCGGCCCGCAATTTAAGTGCTCATCACCCCACCCCTGGATTCTCCTACATTTTGTAGTGTTGTAACATGGAATGAAAATAGATTTAATTTGGGTGTCTGAAATATAAAAATACCTCCCATCTGCTGGACCCGTCAGGGGAGGAGGAGACGGGGCCCGGGGGTCAGCAACAGAGAAGGAGGCGGGGCTGGTGATGAGTAGGAGGCGGGGCCGGCGACAGAGGAGGGAGCGGGCCCGGAAACGGAGGAGGGAAGAGGGTGACAGGTAAGGAGTGTGACCCTGCAGAGCCCACCATAGAGAGTATATGGTGGGCTCTGCAGGATCACCCTCAGGTGATCCATCTTATTCTTTTACTTATCACCCATCCTATTCCTTCACATATTGCTTCCCATCCTATCCTTTTACTTATACAGTAATACCTTGGTTCACGAGCATAATTCGTTCCGGCAGCATGCTTGTAATCCAAAGCGCTTGTATATCAAAGCGAATTTCCCCATAGGAAATAATGGAAATTCAGATGATTTGTTCCACAACCCAAAAATATTCATATAAAAATGATTACAATACTGTACTGTTATATAATACTGTACAAAATATAAAGAAAAATAAACAGATTACCGGTACCTTCGTGGCTGGTGTGAGGGGGACAAGAGAGAGGAGAATTATTGTGTAGGGCGACTTTCACTATCACTAACATAATCACTGCTATCTCTCGGCTCAATGGAATCTTTTTTATTTCGTGAAACCTTAACAAGGAATCTATCCAATGTGACATTGTGTTGTCGTTAAACAGTCTCATCGCTCGCACTGCTACAGCCTTATTCGGGTGGTGCTTTTCTACAGAATTTTGCTCTTATTGCAAGACATTTGCTTGTATATCAAGGCAACATATTTCAAAAATGTTTGCTTGTCTTGCAAAACGCTCTCAAACCAAGTTACTTGTAAACCGAGGTATTACTGTACTCTACCCCTTCACTCATCATCTTACCATCCTATTCTCTCATTCTTCATCACCCTATTATCACTTATAATATCACTTAATATCACTTATCCTCTCCCTTCTTTACTCATTATCTCCTATCTTATCCCCTCACTTATCCTCTCCATTCTTTACTCATTATCTCCTATCTTATCCCATCACTTATCCTCTCCCTTCTTTACTCATTATCTCCTATCTTATCCCCTCACTTATCCTCTCCCTTCTTTACTCATTATCTCCTATCTTATCCCTTCACTTATCCTCTCCCTCCTTTACTCGTTATCTCCTATCTTATCCCATCACCTATCCTCTCCATTCTTTACTCATTATCTCCTATCTTATCCCATCACTTATCCTCTCCCTTCTTTACTCGTTATCTCCTATCTTATCCCTTCACTTATCCTCTCCCTTCTTTACTCATTATCTCCTATCTTATCCCATCACATATCCTCTCCCTTCTTTACTCGTTATCTCCTATCTTATCCCTTCACTTATCCTCTCCCTTCTTTACTCGTTATCTCCTATCTTATCCCATCACTTATCCTCTCCCTTCTTTACTCGTTATCTCCTATCTTATCCCATCACTTATCCTCTCCCTTCTTTACTCCTTATCTCCTATCTTATCCCATCACTTATCCTCTCCCTTCTTTACTCATTATCTCCTATCTTATCCCTTCACTTATCCTCTCCCTTCTTTACTCATTATCTCCTATCTTATCCCATCACTTATCCTCTCCCTTCTTTACTCGTTATCTCCTATCTTATCCCATCACTTATCCTCTCCCTTCTTTACTTGTTATCTCCTATCTTATCCCTTCAATTATAGTACTCTCTCATCTTATACCCCTTTCATTGTCTTCACTTTTCCTCCTTTGCTCATCCTATCCCTTAACTGATCAGCTCTCATTTTATACCATCACTTATCATCTTCCATCTTACTCATTCATTTAAATTGCAGCCATGCTTGCTTAGCATCATTCCTTAAGTCATGATCTCCCATCTTATTCCTTTACACATCTTCTCCCATTTTATTCCTTCAGTCACCATCTCCCATCTTATCCTGTCACTCACCATCACCAACGTAATGCATTCACTCATCATCTCCAGTCCAGTGGTGTAACAATCGCCATAGCGACACAGGCGGCCGCTATGAGGCCCGGGTACAGGGGGGCCCGGCCAGGACACCCCCTGATGCCGTGCGGGCTGCATGGGTCGCTATGGCTTCGACTGTCAGTGATCTGTGCAGCGCTGCGTTCTTCTCCACAGCCGCTGCTGAGTCAACGAGAGCCAGCAGCGGCGGTGGAGGAGGCTGGACCCGGCAGGGGAAGAGGAGACGGGGCCCGGGGGTCAGCAACAGAGATGGAGGGTGGCCAGTGACGAGTGGGAGGTGGGGCCGGTGACAGAGGAGGGAGCAGGCCCGGCAACGGAGGAGGGGGACAGGTAAGGAGTGTGACCAGCCCACCTGAGGGTGACTCTGCAGAGCCCACCATAGAGAGTCTATGGTGGGCTCTACAGGGTCACCCTCAGGTGGGCTGTGTGGGATCTCAAGTGGGCTCTTCAAGGGGTGTAACTAGAAATCACAGGGCCCCATACAAAATTTTGCTATGGGCCCTGTGATTTCTAGTTATGCCCCTGCTCCAGTCTTATCCATTCTATTATCATGTCCCATATTATCCTTTCACTCATGATCTCCCATCACTTACATAGTAACATAGTATTTGAGGTTGAATAAAGACATAAGTCCATCAAGTCCAACCTGTGTGTGTGTGTGTGTGTGTGTGTGTGTGTAGGTCCATGAGTGTTCTCATTCTTAAGAGTACCTGTACCCTTGTACATTTTGGTCTCTCAGGAAGTCGTCCAAAAGCTTCTTGAATGATTCCAGACTAATTGCGGAAATTACTGCTTGAGGCAGTGAGTTCCAGACCCTAACCGCGCGGACTGAGAAGAACCCCCTTCGCCCCTTGTAATCTCTTACCTAATGCCGTAACTTCATATCTTCCATTGTGTGCTGTTAGTCACCAATATCCTAATGTCATGACCTCTGAAATATCTCCCACATTCTTCTCCCATGTTAAGTCTCATGGTCTCTTATTCAGTGTTTTCGCTCTGACTGCCACTCTACAAGTTTAACAGGAAGACTTACTGTAGCTACCATTTCTATTACTCCTCATCTGCTGTCCTCTCTGCTATCCTCATAACTAACTTCCAGTCTGTCAAGAACAATATTCAAGTTATAACAATTTACCTTCAAACCAATTCACAAATCATATCCTATATATATATTTATAATATTAT